AGTGTCTAAAGAGGAAATATTTTTGGTGTGTTCACACCGAACACATAGCGCCGGAAAGGGTGAAGTTGTGTTCGAATAAAAGTGTCTTATACACCGTTCTTCTGATTTATGTTTCGTTTCACAAGGCTAGAAGATAATTCTTCGATAGTCATTTAAATAATAATGTTTTGAAGCCTACATTATACGTTTCCAAAGAGACATCGACTTTACAAGCACATTGTAAACAATTAAAATATATGACGCAAAATGATTTAAGGCATTGGTTGTAACACCGCAGTCATGGCCTTTTTGCAAGCCATCTGGAAAGCAGCCATTCTCTGCTTCATTGTTCTTTCCGGCATTGAAAATGCCTAGTCATTACATGCAAGGTAGTCAGGGCTTAGATTCTAAGATTAGAAGTGCCGGAGCCCTATGGAAGACCATCAGCAGAGAGGAACAAGAGTAAATAAATAAATAAAATGACTATTAAACTCATTAAAAAATTTAAAATTAAATAGTTAATTATATCAAATTAATTAATCGATATTTAATTATGTTTATAAATTGTTATTTAATCCAATAATTATTATATAATTAATTAATTATAATTTAATTTATAATTATAGATAATTAATTATTATTATTGAAAAATTAAAGATTGAAGTAATTAAATAATTAAAATTAAATAAAATGTAAAGAGATATATTGAAATTTAATACGCGATTTTTAATATAATTTTATTGTTAAATAAATTTCGAGATAAATTTCTACTAAATATTATCATTACATAAAGAAGCCTTCTTATTCGGGGCTCCGGTGCGTTCCGGCTAGAATTATGGTTTATTACAAAAACTGTGAGGCACCGGAGTTCAGATCCGGTGGGTTCCGACCCAATTTAAGTTCAGATCGTAGGGGGGTGAGTTCTTTTATCATCACAAAAATTAAATATGCTTAAAGTAAAGCTGATGAAAATTCCAGGGCAAACAGAATGAGTGTATGAGTGGGTGGAAACAAAAAATGAGGGAAATCTTGGTGAGAGGGAACGCTCTCTTTGACCGCGGCTCTCTGTTGATATAATTATAGCCATCAAGCAGATGGGTGTCAGGGGTAAATGAATCGGACTCCTAAATGCATGGAGGTAGGAAGTTTCTTAGCTCCATGCCTAAATGTAAAGTTTCTGGTTACCCTTCTGTTTTGAGGTCGCTGGTTAGACTGTATACTAAAGACAATTTTACAACAACAACCAATTTTATTTCGTGGACTGTATCATAACTAAAAATCTAAATGGAAAATGATAAATTCCCGACCATGCGGGATCAAAAAACATGTATGCTACGCTAGGAATTCGAATCTTAACTAACTGAAATTGCGCAGAAACAATGCGCTATACATAACTTTGAAGTTGCGCAGAAACAATGCGCTGTACATAACTTATATTGCCGCGTAGGAGGCAACACCTTCCCCTCCATTAGTGGATTACTGGGAGAATGTGTATAGGACGTCCTTCAGCAGTTTATCCGTATTTCTCTTTATGTACTCGCTGTCACTTAACGCACATTTAAGAACACAAATTTTCCCTTCCTCTGAGGATACTAACTGTAAGGGTAACAATACACTAGATGCAATGGTATGGCAGAAAATTTAGGCGTTCCTAAACAAACTCCCCCAAATTTATGCTTTGCTTTCCGCATGATTTTCTTCCACTTGGTTCTCACGTGAGTGGGGAACTTTACTTGAACGTCTCAGGTTCTATGAGTTCGTATTTCTAGGAAAATAGAGTATTGCAAGGTCTGCTTATTGTTAACCTAAAACGTAGGATTCTAAATTTTTTTCCTTTAAATTGTGTTCAGTTTATAAAATGAAGTACCGGAGCTCATCTTATTTAGGGTCCTGTGCGCTCCGGCTAAATTGTACTTTATCTTAAAATTGAGAAGCACCGGAGCGGCTCGGCGCAATTTAAGCACTGAAGGTAGTAAACAAGTAATATAAAAATACTTTTAAAACCAATTCTACGTAGGTCAACAAAGAAAATTTTAAAAATACAAAAGATAAAATAAAAATTAAAAAAAAAAAAAAAAAAAATCTGAAATGTTTCAGATTTTAAATTACGTCAAAGGGGCGTTTTTTTAACATTTTGTGTGTTACCTTTCTTTATAAATATCATGTTCCTCGCACTTAAACCATAAGATCCAGTGCAACAGCAATATCGCAAATAGTTTAAACGAGCATATCTTTAGAATTTCCGATACAGAGACTCACGCGCTGGAGATAAAAATGTTTTTTGCACAACGTTGCCATTGCTCGCTTTGAAATCCTTGAGTTTGTTTAATCAAAAATTCGTCAAAGTTTTAAAAAATAGGAAATCGATCATAAAACAATTTCAAATTTCAAATTGGTCTTCCCACATGCTCATATTCGTTGGAGGATTACGTTATTCAAAAATTCGATGACTCTATGTACCGTTGTTTTATCACAATACGAGAAATATACATACATTTATGCAGATTTTTCATTATTTAATTTCTCAAATATAATGCAGGACTCCAACATTTTGTGGCAACAGTTTGAAAAGTGAACCGACATTTATGAGTCCGACGCAAAATGCCAAAACGAAACTAATAGTCCTTCGGGATTCAAATCCCTTTGGACTAAAAATGAAAATTATATGTGAAACAACTGTATTAACATCAAGTGTCTCCCACTACAAGTTTAAAAAACGTATTTGAACTTGAGTGGATGAATAAATGTATTATTGAAAAGATGGCTGATATGCTTGCAAAAAAAGGGGGTACGGTTCTCCTAAAGCCAAAAACGCGTGCAAGCCTCCATTATATTAATCTTCTGAGATCGTTAACATGTCAAAAGACCTTTTAGAGATTTTGCCACTCGGGCATATGATGGCAAGCTTTGGAGCGTTCTCTCAACACACCCAGCTTTTGTTTCTGACCACCAGCGAACAGTTGCGGTGGCATTCTTTTAGACTATTGACGGGGCATGACTCTCTACAGAATCATTTATTTCGCATCGGACTAGCTGATTCGCCCGTTGTGTGTTTTATGTAACAGTGGACAGCCAATGACGGTGGAACATTTGGGCAAGTGTGAAGCACAGACAAATTTTCTTGTAGATTTCAGCGCTATTGGCAAGCAAGGGGTTTCTGGACTAACGGCCAATGTAACTGGCATTTGACAAATAAATTAAGACGTGAAAATTTGAATAAGAAATGAAAGTGAATTTCCCTTGATGAAAACTCCAACTTCCCTTGATCATTTCCTTGATCAAAACTGGAATGTGATCATTTCCCTTGATCAAAACTCCAATGTTTATAGAGCGAATTCCGTCTTTCCTATTTTGTACCTCCACAAGCATAAGTCTTCAAATGTTTCCATAATAATCTCTATCTACATATTGGTTGATACTAACTGAAGAATAGTCAAGTAAATGACATGATATGTATGTCGTAATGCTTCAAGTAAATTCCTTACCACGTTTATCATGCAATTTACATGCAATTACACACGCAATTTACACCTCTGTCGCATTTTCATAAAAATATGCTTCTCATTCAGCACCGCGAAACTTAGTAGGCGGTTATACTCACTACGATCAAAAGCTCAAGCCCATGGCAATACAGAGTTGATATGTGATTTTGTACAGAGATGACCTATCTGCTGTTAAATGGAAAGAAGTTAGTTTTAAAATCTTAAAGTTTTCGATCAGCAGTAGTATATATTTCGCTGAAAATATTTAAGATTCAATAAATATTTCAAATCTAAAACTTCTTAGGTGTTATCGTTTTGTTTAAATGATATATGATACACAGCCGGGGAATCGAATCCCGGACCTGTGGTGCTGCTGCGCGATGCACTAGCCACTACGCCACCGGTCCTGGAGTAATATTAACTTAGGTTAAATCTTATAATATGAAGTAAAAGAAATTTATGTTTCATCGTATTATACTTACGTATATTTCATCGTATATATTAAGAAATTTGTATTTTATAGAATGTATTCATGGCTTCTGTTGAATTGGCTGTAAATTCGGATATTGCAGTAAAATGTTCTATAGTGTTCAAGGCATATAATATTTCCTCCGGGTAGGCAGAATTATATTGTCCTCCTTACTTTCTTTTGATGACTTTTCTTGCACTTCACACATAAGAGATTGTACATTAGATTCCACTGGAGCACACTCGGCAATCCTCATCTGCACTAACGAACATCGTCAAAACTAACGGTTGGACTTGCAGATAACAGGATCGCAACGACTTATAGACTTACTGTGTTCTCAGATGAAGTGCCATCACCTAACTTATGAACAGGAGTAGCGACGTTATGTCTTCAGACTCTGTTGAAAGAAGAGAAGATACAAAATTAATTGTTATTTTTAATCTATTTATGTGCAGTTATTTGTGTTAGGATTATTTCATACGCAGTTATTTGTGTTAGGATTATATTATATTATAGAAAAATATGTAAGAGGGTAATGAATAAAATGTTATTTTAAAAGGCATATATAAAACAAAAATGTTCGGAAATACCTTTTCTAAAACGAAAGGACGTCTAACAAAAAACTAATTTCATTTCTTAACTTTTCACTAACAATATTTACATTGTACTGAGATGTTTTTAATATCTGCAATATTGAAAATCTTCCGTCCTTTGTATTTTTAATGTCATTTTCTCAATACCTGAATGTTTATATTTTTTCCGGCATTATCATAAAAACTGCTTAATTCTTGAATCAAAAAAATATTCTTATTGACATTCCTAATAATTCTATCGCAAAGATCTGTAATTTGAAACAAAGATTACCTCACATTGAAAGGTGTAATAAACAAGACATCAAGATTCAAGGACATCAAGAGTCTAAAACTAGACTTTCACGTGACGTGACGTGCCTTGTCAATCGATAGTACAAAGTAAATTTATAAACGTAATGCAGGTCATGTGATTAAAGAATTACTAAGTATATATTTTTTATTCGCTGCGCTGATAACATACTCTATCAATCGCTCGTTGCCTTGTGCCAGTTGATTCGATTTTACTTTTTATGTATTTTTTATTTCGCTGCGCTGATAACATACTCTAAAGATAATATCAATCGCTCACTGCCTTGTGCCAGTTGATTCGATTTGTTACTTTCTAATTTTATAAAATGGCTCTTATGTCTATTTATGCAGAAGATTTAACATCTGAAATCAAACTAATATTAGAAAATGAACTTCGTGAGACGCCTTCAGTAAGGAAAAATTCTCTAGAAGAAATAAAACAACTCATTGAAGGTAAGTACTTAAATATTTTTACGTGTACCTTGAATAATAACATTTTGATTACGCATCTGTCGTAGAAAATTAAAAACTAAAGCCTTTCTGGTTCAGTGTGTGAGGTTTTGCTTGTGTTTTATCAATAATATTTTATGCCTGAAAACATAGGCCTTGCAATGGCTTGGTGAGAATAAAGTATCCAGTTTCCTGAGTACAATAATTTCCCAAATAGAGAAGATCAGAGCTGCAAAAACAACAGCTGAAAAACTAATTGCAGGTTTTAATGCGGCCATGCTGCTGATGAAAATAGCCCAATCTGATGATTAAGAAGTTGCTGATCGACCTCAGGTTTTCGAGCCTGCTTGAACTGGTATTTTGATATACTGCTTTACGCATGATTTTGTATGAACTTAGCATCTCATCCTTACTTTGCTCCCATTCACGACACCGTTGCAGCATCAGGCCATCACTCTTTTCGTCTTCATGACGGTGGTGTTAAGTAACACCCTTTGATTTACAAAAAATAACGGCGAACGGCCTCAGGGCACCTTTGATTTATCGATCAATACCCTACGTAAGTGACGATTCTGATTCTGATTCTTTTCACTCTCTGCTTGTAAATCTGCATGTAACTTCACTTGTATTTCTCTGCATGTAACTCTGCGTGTATCTCTGCTTATTGCTCTGTAATAAATTTTGTTTTGCGAACCACGGCATTTTCTATGTTCAACAGTCCTACCATAAATTATAGGAAATTAATTTGTTGTAGTTGGGAGATATGGACAAATAAAGTTCTGCACAATATACTTACAAATTTCCGAAATTTCTTGCCTTTTTAAACAAAATGTATGTTATTACCAGTAAAAAGTTAGGAGAAAGTGCAGAATCGCCCACTGCTTGGCGCATTTTTAAGAATTGCACATATTCGGTATCCATGTACACATCGACCTATTTTCGCTTAAAAAAACATCCCGGAATTGCACAAAAATTGCATTGTGCACCCTTGACTTTATCCATGTACACATCGACCAATTTTCACGTAAAAAGTCAAAGAAAATTGACAAAAATCAAATTCTTCTTACTCATGTAAAAAGCGCCAAACAAATAAGTGGGAGATTCTGCACTTTAGCCAAAAGTTATTTTCAAAATAGATGGAAATTTTCAAAATCGATAATATTTTAGATCTATTTTATTCACAACTGTTAATAATTTTATTACTTTATTTACAATTCATTTGTTTATTTATTAAGTTGGCTAATTCATTTTAACGGTTGATTGTGTTTTGTATGTTTTGAAATGTTTGGAACTTAGCTCTCAGCTAGCTTTGACTATCTTTTGAATCTTTTTGCGAGTTGAAATGATTATATATTGCACACCTATGATTTTATATTATAATAATTTAAGTAGAGTAGATATTGTTACGAATTTTGTACATACATAGATGATTTTAGTGCAGTTATATGTGAAATTGTTGTATTTTTCTGCGAAATGTAATGCGAAACAAATTTTAAGGTAAAGCTATGCCCGAAAATCAAGAACACAGATAGATGCAAGTGCATTTAACATTGAGTAAATGGATATCTCGGTAATTTAGGAAGATACTACCAAGCTGACTACGGTTTTAGTGATTTATTCTGTCACCAAATTTGTCGACCATTTGGGTCAGGTCCCTGTATCACCGTAATATGAATGGAAATTGAGTAAATGTGATTGAACACTATGTTAGCTGTAACCGCAATTCTACCTCCGCATTACTTTCCAGTAATTTCGAGAAGCGGAAGGTACTGGAAATATCTCGGCGGCTGATTGAAAACTATTCAAGGTAGAAAAGAGAGCACCTGCTCTCAGTTGCTTAGTTATTGTTGTTGCGAGTGTAAAGTTAGCTTTCTTTTTAGATGCGTTTTGCATTGCATTGTGTTTAACGTTCTTGGTAGTTTGAAGTGTAACTACAGATACTATATGTTATACTATGTGATACTGTAAACACTTGTACGAATATTTCTGTGGAAAATTCCAGAGTTCTGAAATATATTTTTGATAAAAATAAATTTTTATTAACCTGTTATCGGACTTGTACGAACCTGTACGTACGCAACAATATTAATTAAAGAAAGACGGAATTTAATAGAAACAGAAATTTGAAATAAACAGTTACTAAATTTTAAATATGTAAAATTAATAACTGGGTTTTGGAGTTAAAGTTTTATTCTTATTAATAATTAACTAGAGTGTCTCAGTTATTTTAAAGCAAGCATTCTGCCATTATTGAATTTTCTGAAAGAATATTTTGTTAAAACATTATATAGCATATATATGATATATTAATATATAGTCAGTTATGAAGAATATAATATTTTACATTGCCCTTGTGCCTCCTAAATTAATTCTTACATAATTAAGCTAAGAATTACAGTGTTACACTGCATGCAATTTTTGTTAGCTTCTGCGTTGGTTCAGATGGATTAAAATCAAATTTTTTATGATTTCTGTAATATAAATTTCAATATTTTCAACAAAGTAATACGTATGTTTTACATATGAAGCTTGCGGCGACCATGCAAAAATATTACTTAATTCTGTCCTTCTAAAACTTGCTTCGAAATTTCCTGCTTTATTGCGACATATATTAAATTTTTGAAAAAGAAAAACATAGAGAACACTTCTGAGTTTCCTTCTTTGTTTGGAAATAGATTTTAAGAAGTAACTTTTACGAACATCAAAATCATCTAACCAGCTTTAAGCGATTTTTTACCTTTGATACCAAGCTATCGAAAGGCATCTGTGTTAACTGTTCATGTTTCGAACGTAAATTGTTTAGTATGTTGCTCGAAAGAGAGGCACGTGCTTTGGAGATGTTATCAATAACTAAAAGTACAAGTTTGATCCATTTTTGCGAATTGTTAGACATAGGATTAATTGTTTTCTATTGGGTTTCTGGTATTGGTAAACACCTTTAGTTTTTGTGTTCTAACAATCGGTAGTTTTAGTTACAACCACAAGTACAATAGCTAGTCAAAGACTGAAATTAGGGATAAATACATACATAGTTTGTTTTTTTTTTAAATTTTTAGTAATAGTTGTTGGAGTTGAAAACAAAAAGTATTAAGAATTATAAAAATTAATAAATTATAAGAATTTAAGTAATTTTATAAGAATAAGGGACATCTTAATAGACCTGAAAATACCAAGCTGGGAAAGCCAGTTAAGGCATGGAGCTAGTGAAACATAATAAAATACATGAGCAAGTGAAAAAACCCTGAGATGCGTTAAAACACAGTAATTAACCAGTAAATAGAAAAAGATGTAAGTTAAATTACACAAGAGAGAGCACAAAAATACAGCATTGAAACAATATAAACATATATACAAGTATAATCACTGAGAATGATACTGAATTTAACAAGTCTCTGTGTCAGAGTACACTTATGGCTTATTAGAGCAGAAATTAAACATTTTGTTTCAAATGGCAGATTGTGAATAATTACAAATGTAACCCAGTCTATTAATCTATACAAGGCCGGATGTGGTGGTTTCTTTATTATGGTGGCACCTAATAGGTGGTCCACCATCGCCTTTCCTATAAAGGGACGGACAGTTACAACCGTGCCTTCTCCGGGGTTCGAACCCAGACCCTTCGGCATCGCAGTCAGCTTCCCTGACCGACTGGGCGGCGAAATTAAACATTGGTTGTAGAACTAAATTTTCCTCAAGATATAGAGAAAACAGTGAATAGTTTGTTGAGGGATGCTGAACTGTTTGCAGCTCCGGTATTTTTTCAGATAGTTTTCTAAAAATATTTGTTATTGAACAGGATTTTCAGTTCTTTTAGAAATTAAAAAATGTCCGTGAAGGTACTGAATAATATTTCATCAATTCTTTTGTCCTTAACGTGATTGTGCAGTCTAGTATTAGGATCTTAATAGCATTTTCCTGTTCTGCCTGTGGTAACAGTGGCATAAGTTTGTAATATCATGTGGCCCCAACTTGTCAGCAACTGTGGTAGTGACTGCTACGAAGTTTGAATTTACACAGACACGTAAGAAGGGTTTAAAGCCTTTTTTTATTCAACTTTTAAATAACAGCTGCGTCCACTTGACGCTCACAAACTACGCCGACCCGGCGGTTTAACTGAAACAGAATGTAAAACTGAAAAATAATGACTGGATGAATAAATAGCGAGATCACTATCCACGAGGCTCTGAGATCTTAAACTAACCTAACCGAGTTCTACAATACCGCTGAGATTCAGCGAGCTTACTAATTAAGCAGTTGAGAGATCCAACAAAATCTGCCGAGAAAGGCACACAGGCCAACACGCGCGGTTCTAAAATTTCTACCTAGCAACCTTCCCGTTCGCGATTCAAGAAGCACACTTAGAATCTCGTTTCCTTCCTATTTTAAACTCAACTTACTTCCGCTAAATTTGAATATACTGCGCGCTCTACTACAATTTACATACTTTAGCATTGGCAATTCTAGGGGAAAGTAAAGGCTTGACAGGAAATATTGACAGAAGCATTACATTTTAACTGAAGTGTTGTTTGCTGTTTGGCTTAAGGGGATAAAAGTAAAATTGTACACTAGAAGATAGTTGGTAATGTTTTTTTAAGAAAAATTAAGTCTATATAATTCCTGGAAAAATGTGCTAATTTTTCAAGATAAGAAACGGAAATCTAGTTTCAGCCATTCACAATTTTTTAAGTAAATATTACGCAGTCGGAATTTTCGCAATTTTAAAAATGAAAAATGGACTTTTAAAAAATATAGACAACATTTGAAACAAATAAACCAAAATGATAAAATAATCAAAATGATTATATTTTATGATAAGCGGTACTACAGTTATAGCACTAAAATTCTACAACTAAAAGATACCTATCGTATTTACACATTGTGATAAGGTGGCATAAAGGTTCTTTGCCTAAGATGAGTTTTCAGAGTGCAACAGTTTTCATATCAGTGGTGAAACCCCATGACTTTGTTAATAATTCCGGTTGCAGCCTCGAAGGTCACTCCAGTGGACAAAGAAGTCTTTTCATCAAGGTCAGGAGATGGACACTTTGCTATGTATGAGTGAAGGAATCATCCCCCCGGGAGTTCAGCGCAAGTAAACACAGGGAAATATATAAGGTGGTTTCCTGAGAAGAGGGGGAAGTTTTCTGTTTGGAGCTATGCGTATGTTGGCCTGCTAGAACGATCATTCCTCGTGCAAATGCGTTAAAGCATTTTTCCTATAACAAAATTCTGAAATTACGGAACTAAATATATCCAGGTCCCATACTGTCAAGATATGCAACTGTTAAGGTTTTCATTTTATTAAAGTTCATGTTATTGTTAAAACTTGAGTTAGAAGTTCATTTCAACCCTGTATTACAGCCTGGGGTTTGTGTAGCGGTTTCGGCCACTACACCACAACGTGTAATTTCCCCATTTTCTGACTAATTTTACCGTTTCAAAATTGAAAGGGGAAAGTATATACACACATATTGTTTCTGAAAGTGTGTCTCAAATGATAAACATAGCACATTGAAAAGCACATATAAGACACAAAATATAATACTGTTATATTATGTATTTCTAAGGACTTATCAGTTCCAATAATATTCCTTTCTATATTGTAAATTATTTTCCTAAGTGCTCATAAATTTGACACTGTTATCCTAAATTAAAGGTTTTTAATGAAATGCTAAAATATTCGATGGAAAATTACGCAAAGGGAAGATATATGTGAGTAAATAGCCATATTATATTAAAATAAAATGTCAGTTATACGATTTTATTTATACGTGGTTTTGTAGTGGTGGCTTGAAAATTATACAAATGATGCTTTATTTTACTCTCATATTAATCAAAAGGTAAACTAAATCTGAATATATATTTTTATTTTCTAGAGGAGCCAGATTTCTACCCTTTCATGGATGATAAATTCCTGCTGCTATTTCTCCGTAACAAGAAGCATAATGTTCACAGGGCTTTTAAGACACTACGAAATTATTATTCATTTAAGGAGAAATACTCACGGGTTTTTACAGATTTTCTGCCTTCCGAGCATAGAAAGGTTATAGAGATGAATTGTTACTCACCGATGCCTTTCCTAGACGCCCATGGTAGGGGCATCGTCATCTGTCAGCTAGGTAAGAAATTCATGAAAGATCCATAAAAAAGGTAAAATCTTAAATTTCTCGTACGAAGAATTATATTAAGTGATTTTTATATCTTAAAATACGTACTGCACTAAAAAAGAGCATTAATATTTTTCAGGTCGATATCAATGGGAAGAAAACTCTGTTGAACCTCTTATGGCTTTTGCTGTGAACATGGGAATGCTGTTTTACAAATGCGAAGCATTTTCTATATGCGGGGCAGTGCTTGTATATGATTTTAAGGACTTCACTCTGGAAAATTTATTTAAGTCTATCGGTGTCACATATTTAATCTTTGCCTTTAGGTGCTTACAGGTAAGTGAAAATTAGAAATTACATCATAAAGTATCAAGTTAAATGTGCTACGCTTGTTAAATCCACAGGCGATTTACTTATCTCTAAATGCAGGCTTGATACATCTGCTGGAGAGCGTGTTAATGGACAAAATATTTGAAGTTTTGCATACCACTCTAATATTATTCCACCTCATGTGTAATTTTGTCGAGTTCAGAAGTGGTTCCTAACAATATACTGATTCGTGCAACACAGTGTGGCGCAGAAGTTCCTAACAATTTTAAAAGATAATTAAGACACAATAACACGCCGAATAAATACTAATTCAGAAGTCAAACAACAAAAATCAGCGTCATATTTACAAAATTTTCACAGGACTAGTTTCGATGGTTTTACCGAACCACCATCCTCAGCTGCAAAACCGCAAATGAACAAGACAGGAAAATAATGATTAGATAAGATAAGTAAGCCTGGACAAGAATAAGCAAGTGGCGGTATCTGTTGGTGAAACCAGAACTAAAACATAATTTCTTTAAAGGCCGAAGGGAAATTTGGATTGGAATTAGGATCAGTTATCAGAATTAGGACAGTTAACGATCCTAATTCCAATCCAAATTTGCCTTCGGCCTTTAAAGAAATTATGTTTTAGTTCTGGTTTCACCAACAGATGGCGCCACTTACTTATTCTTGTCCAGGCTTACTTATCTTACCCTAATCATTATTTCCTGTCTTGTTCATTTGCGGTTTTGCAGTTGAGGATGGTGGTTCGGTAAAACCATCGAAACTAGTCCTGTGAAAATTTTGTAAATATGACGCCGATTTTTGTTGTTTGACTTCTGAATTAGTATTTAAAAGATAAATCGAACAAATGAGTGTAATGGAGTGCAATTGGCACGAAATCGAGTTAGGAAGGGAGAAAGTGGTTTTAGCGTAGGCGTACGAATACTTGTTTCATGAAAGTAATCTGCAACCATTGTTGAATCCATTGTTGCCAATATGTGGCAAGATCATTTATGCCGGTAAATTACATAAATGTCTTTGTAAGCAATGAAGTCCTCCTCTGCCCAATATATTTGGTGCTTCTATATTTTGCCAATGCTTTTCGTAATAGAAAACGACGGAAGTGCCAGAACTAAATGGTAATCTACTGAGGAAATGTGAGAAGAGTTTGCAGGGTGAGGCATTATTCCGTTTTCCAGATTGTTGATTTGCTGCACGATCGATATTGCCGTATGTGTTAAGACGATATTTGGAGCAACATGATGCCATATCTGTTCACAAGCACTGTCTGTTTAAGGCAGAATTTGGCTTGCAGTTACATCATATCTCTAGAACTCTGAGTTGCATTTATCATTTTAATTCATGGAAGGGATGAATAATAAACAGCATAAACAGAAGACCACCATCACGTAAACAACATGTTTTTTGGATAAAAAATTGCTGAATCTTTCTCGAAGTATCTTCCACTCCCAACTACTAAGTCGATGACGCGTACCATTGTCACATATACCTGTCGTAGAATAACTATATCTGACCTTCGTTTCGTCAAAAGAATTCTTCTTTAGTTCTTTGGAGAGACCAGAATATTTACAAAATCCGAAGTTTGATTCATCAGCGAGTTTGTGAGGCACCATTTGTCGAGCTTTTTCTGCTGCCAAAGTGCACTCACTCAGTTGACATTTGTAAATTTAGGGTGCAGGCGATCTCTTGTGCAGTTATTTATGTTCTTAATGAATCTAATTCAGTTTAATTAATTAATAGAAGAAGAAAGATGGACACAAGTTTATTTCTTCGCCTATGCCTTCTAAACTGAGAGAAATTTTGCAAACCAATGCAGCTAATTAGTTATGCCTTCTTTAAATTATTTACTCGTGTATTCTACTACATCTGAAGCAGAATTTCCGAATTTAAACTTGTAAAATTATAGATTTTTTTAATTTACTGTGAGTTACAATTACTAATATTTTAAAAAAACAACGCAGCGTGATTCACTACCAAAGTTGACTGTCAGGTAATAATGAAAGTTAAAATAATAATCAAAAATGATTCTCCAGATTGGTGTCAGGTATATTCAGCAGGTGTTAAATAAGGAAGGAACGCTGGTTGTGTTTCGATTTGTTTTAGATGTACGCCTGTCAGGACTTGTGTTTCTCTTTATTTGCGTTGGAAACATGAATGATCCTGAATAGGAACAGGGAGCTTACTCAAGGTATGTTCATGAAGGTGTGAAGTAGACAACACAAGCAGGAAGGGTATACGAAACCCTTTATTTTCAATACTCTACAGGTATTTCCGGAACTTCGGAATACAGAGACCAACCACTTGTGGTCTGAACGTAAGAAAGTAAAATCTACTAACTAAAACTCTAACTAAAAGCTAACTTTGAATTAGTATACAAATGTCTAGCACTAAGCCTGGCCTTTATTTAAAAGGGTACGTATGTAGTACGCCGAGCTGCTAAAACTACGATTCGTCTGCAAATATCAAGAGGGCTAAAACTGTGGCCTTAAAGGCAACCAGCAACCGAGTGGAAACTCGTAAAACTACAGTTGCAAGCGACTTGCTTCCTAAAACTCTTTTTCTCTCTCTTGGCAAAACACAACTAAGTACTTGGGCGTTGCAAGACATTTGCCTAAAACTAGTTAAAGCTTTAATTCTGGCCGGTAGTACAAAATTACAAGGATAGTACAGTTTTAAAATAAAATAAACGTTAGTAAAACTTAGGATCCTTACACGCCAAGTTCAGCCGCCCAACCGGAATAGTGGTTAATGACTCTTGACTGCTGAACCAATGGCCTGTGTTCGAATCCCTGAAAAGATGTAGATTTTTATAAATGCGTAGTGTCTGCACGGCTTGGGGGACACTAAAAATACGTGGCAAGCCGAAAGTCCTTTTGAGAGTTGATGGTGGGAGACCCTCGGACAGTTCCACTGAGGTTCTGTCCTTCAAAATTGGGAGAACCGAGCAAAGTCAACCTAGACCGGATGACTTTGCTCAATTCCGTATGGTAGCTGCATGGTGGCCAATGCTTTTCCCAACGACTGGAGCAATCTTGCCTCCTTGCCTGGATAAACTTCGCGGGCTTGCTCTGATATCAGACAAGCGAGATTAGCCACAACAACAACAGTTCCAAGCTATTGCTGGCTGCAGTCGAATTGTTAGTTATACAGATTTGAGGAAAAGAAAGCGATATGTTTCTTTACCATAGAAGTGCTGTATTTAGAGCTGAAACTAATAGAAACTTATTAATAAAATCTCTACATATAATAAAAGAAAGAGTCTGTCTGTGTGTTTTTCGTTCGTGCTGCGCGTAAGCTAGTAGATCCAGGGCTACGAAATTTGGTGCATAGGTGCATCTAGACAAGAGCCAGTGCATGTCGAAGCGAGGTTTTCAAAATTCGAGTCAGATTTGCTTTTATTTTATCTTGTTTGATGAAATTGCATCATTTTGAATAGTTTCATTCTTTTAGAGATGTGGTTTGGCTCGTTTTCCCTCCCTTTTATATGGTTTGCTGCGGTTGAACATATAGATAAATCTTAATTCCGAACCGCCCATCTCACTTCTTATTATGCGCCAGGTCGGAGGCCACAAAGGAAGAATTTTTTCTCTCTCTCTCTTTCTCTTTATTAGATAATGGCCAAAAGGTGTATATTTGATTAATATCATGCACAAAGAAATTTTGATTGGTTGTTCTGCTGATAGTTTCTTCTTCTAGAATGTGTTTTGCAACAGTTTTTCATCATTGATTGGATACTGGACTATTACTGATGTTTCTTTGCCCTCGAGATTATTGCTTATTTCCTTATTTTTTATATATAGTTTAATTATATTAATAGCAGCTCATGCCCCCTTCGTCTGGCTTTTAAATGTACCGGGGAAATGGCTGAAGAAAACACCAATTTTAAATGAAAAACAGCGTAGAATTTTACTCTGCAGAACGACTTCATAAAAAAAAATTATTACGTATAACAAATTACCATGAAATAAGCAAATCCCTTAATACAATATTAATGATCTAATAAATTAACCAACTTCTTGGTCTAAGAACTCAAATGGTATAAAGGAGTTAAGAACTTGTTTCCTAAAAAATCACTCAAAACTTTTAGTATCTTAAAATCAGTGAAATGAGCAACAAAAACACAAAAGAATACAAAAAACAAAAAATTCTGAAAAGCAAAGTATAATTAATGAATTTTTATCATAATTTTCAAGAGGGAAAAAAAAAATTGCAATTAAATAGTATATCAATAATTAAAATATTAAATTATCAATAAAAAAAATAAAACAACTTTCCTGTGAAGGAAAAAAAAACATTGCAAATTTTTTCAAATCTTACAGACAGTGAAATAAGCAAAAAATAACATGAAAAGAAAGAAACTCAACATAAAGTTCCGCGCCACATTTTACTGCAGAACAACTTTATCAAAAAACAAATTCATAAAAAAATGGTATTATATATATAATAAAAGAAATGAATAGCCATCTCTTGGAAAATAGTGACTAAGAAATTACGACGAAAAATGTTGCAATTACAGACTTCATGGCACGGCAATGGTTGCTACGGAGGATGACGTGTTTTACGACGCTCTTGAAAAACACTGTAAAATTATTGAATCAGCACTTCAATCTAAATGCAATATGAATCAACAGGTTCGCGAGGAGGCCAGGCAGGCTTTGGGTGAGTTGAAATCTTCTATTTATAAGAATTTTGAACGTATCAAAGCTGTTAAATTTATGGATGCATGTAAGGAAAGTTTGAAAGACGCCTTTTCAAGACCTAGTTATGCTAGTATGGTGGCGCCATCTGATGTTACAAGGATTAATGAAAAATCCTTGATTTCTTCGGATTGTTGTTTAATTGTAGACTCTGAAAACTGCTCTTCTGACGATGTTAAGAAAGTTATTAAACTAAAAAATTAATCCATTAGAAGCTAAGTTAGGTGTATATACTTTGAAAAAAATATTGGAAAAGATAAAGTCTTGGTTAAGTGTTTGACAGAAAATGATCGGAATCGACTTCAAGCCGAGATTAATGAAAAGTCTCCGGAATTAAAACACGTCCTTACCAAAAAAGAGGAATCCTGTTTTACTTGTAAAAAATGTGCCAAATGAAATACCTAATGAAGATCTTCTGAAAGTGATTTTTGAACAAAATCCCGAAGTTGTTGAATCTGATGAAAACAGAAGTATATGTAGAGTTCGTTTTACTTTAAAAACCTTCCAGTTCACGAGGCACGTTGTGATTGAAACGCACCCCATGGTTCGTAAACGTATTCTGAATCAAGCCAGGTTGAAAATTAATTGGAGTATATGTGAAACTGACGATTTTATTATCATCAATAGATGTTTTAAGTGTCTTGGGTACAACCATCGTGCTGATGAATGTCGTGAGCGAACAGCCTGTTTTAACTGTTCTGGAGAACATAAGGCAAGGGGATTGTTCGAATAGGAATGCTGTAGCTTGTATAAATTGCATCCGCTTCAATCATAAAACAAATAACAGCTATAAAAAAGTGAATGTTAATCACAAACCCTTTTCAGAATGCTGTCCTAGTCATGAATTTATGAGAAAGAACATTCAATCTCGAATTGATTATGGCTAGATTGGCTAGACGCGTTCTAAAGTGTGTGCAGTTAAATCTTCATAAATCCAAATCTGCGACACAACAGCTAATTTTAAATATGGAAGCTGATGATATTGACTGTGCTTTGGTTCAGGAACCTCATTATTACAAGAATTTTCTTCCAGGATATCCTGGCACTTATAGACTTTATTGTGATCCTAATTCTGATAATGTAAAGGCGGCAATCATTATTCGATCACGTGATCTATCAACATTTCTTGATTATAAAAATACGGATTATAATATGGTTACCTTGGATATTACTGTTGGCTCAACTGTGCTCACTCTTTTTTCATACTATTTTGAACCCTCAAGAAACATTGACTTAGATCTTCATAAAATTAGTCAAGTCTTTATGTCCAAAAATCTTAATCGACTGGTTTGGTGTATGGACTCTAATGGCAAATCTGAATTATGGTTTAGTCCCTATTCTGACTCTCGTGGAGATAAACTGAGTGAATTTATTTCTGCCAACAACCTATTTGTTATTAATGAAGATTATGGACCTACGTTTCAGGCAACTCAGGGTTCTAGTTATATTGATGTTACTGTTATTGGTTCAGATCTTCTCCAGGATGTTTCGAGTTGGCGGCTGTCTGAAAAAGAATCCCTTTCTGATCACATGATGATTGAATTTGAATTTTGTCTTTCTACATTCTTACGAGACACCTCAAATGTTCCTTTTAAAATCTTCAATACAGGGAAAGCAAATTGGGATCGTTTTCGAAAATTTTGTTCTTCTCGCATCACCCGTTTCATTGATATTCTTAACGACTGTACTGACGGTTCTCGACTAAATACTCTTGTTGAGAATTTTAGTTCTGTTCTTCTCCAGGCATCTCAAATTTCCATACCTGTTAGGAATCATGGTAAGCACAATGTTCCTTGGTGGTCTGCCGAAATTTTTTGTATGAGAAAGAGGCTTAATGCCTCTAGGCGTAGATTTCAGCGTTGTAAAAATCCGCCTCTTAGAGAACTTTATAAAAGTAAATATCTTGAATATAGAAAAGTTTACAATCTAAAGCTTGCCGATGCTAAATCTCAGTCTTGGAAAACATTTCTTTCGACCATTGATGTTCACAATGTATGGAAAAAGATTTACACGTATGGAGTTAAAAGAGATTTCATGAAAAAAAAAATTGAAATAACTGGTATTTGTCTTTCCACTGGAGAGACAACCAACTCTTTAGAAGAGACAATTACTGCTGTGCTTCAGAAA